GGAAGGAAGGAAGGAAGGAAGGAAGGAAGGAAGGAAGGAAGGAAGGAGGAAGGAGGAAGGAAGGAAGGAGGAAGGAAGGAAAGGGAGGCAAGCTGAAAACTAACCACCCAGCCATAGCTACCCTACCAAGCTGGGCTTCACTGGCCTCTTTTACTCTCAGACTTCAGAATCCAAGACTCTACCCCAAACAAGCATGGAAATCAGTTTGAAAGGAAAAGAAAATAATCAAATGTTTTTCAAAAAGAATCCTTGCTTTGAAAATTTTTTTATTTTTTTCTCTTTCTTTTCAACAACAACAACAACAAAAAAAATGGGCTAATTGGTTCCATCATGTACCATTCATGTGGCCACAGTGGCAATGCTTTCTTCTTTAGAATCACATACATACTTTTCCCTCACGGTATTAGGCACAGTGAGGGCAGGGGAGAGAAAGAGACAGAGAGACAGAGACTGAGAGACAGAGAAGGAGAGAATAACTTGTCTTACTCCCGGAATGAAGACCACGGAGAAGCAGAAAGCTCCAAGGATATTCTTTTTTTTTTTTTTCATTTCCTTCCAGTCCCCAAAGAAAAGCAAAGGCTCAACTCAAATAAAGCACAGACACTGGGGTCCCACAGAAGCTGATCTCTAGAGTCATCGGTCCTATTTCTCCTTCACACCACCAGCGGCTGCACAGCTGTTGCTCAGAACTCTAACCCCCATAGGAATAGGCTCCAATTCTTCATCACCCAGCATGGACCACACTTGACTCAGCCTGGGAGAGTGGCCCAGCGTCACTGCCCCTTTGAATCTAGAAACATCAGCGCAAAGGACCACAATCAGAATGGACTCAGGCTCCTGCCATGGGTACCAGGACATGCGCATCCAAACCCGGAGCCTTGTCTTTGGCTCTGTAGACATGAGGCAAGAACAAAGTGCAGGGCTTTCTGGTCCGCCTCCCAGAGACAGTCTCATTAAAGCTCCAAGTGCTGCTGGGTGGCAGGGAGCACAGCTCCACTCCCTGCAGGCCAAACTCAAAGGAAACTTTCATCCTTTGGGACAGGTACTTAGAGGGATGGTGCCGTCCTCCTGAAAGCCCATTTGGTTTTGATTCCCTCTGCAACAGGGCCTGCTTGGCCCAGCATTCTGCTTTCATCCCTGTGCTCCAGCCGGACATAAATCTAAACCAGAGCCCCCAGACGGCACATTTAACAGAGACTATATTTACCCATCACCAAATTGTCTTGACGTGTGCTTAATTACTTAAATGTCTTTAATCCCAAGCCTTTTCTTCTAACAAAATAGAAACCAGTTCAGCTGGTTGAATGATAAACCAGATGCTTACAACAAACACCATGGTCTGGCTCCGGTCAAAATAATTAAGACATCGTCTCCTAAGCGGGAGGGGAGCTGCCCAAAGCATACATTTGTTTCAATTCTCTGACACCAAGCTGTCCATGAAAACGTACCTCTATTAATCTGTAATTTTTCTGTCCATGGAAAGGCAATAATAACTTCCATATGAAGGAGCAAGAAAGGTGTTTGTCCTGTGATATGGTCAAGAAGGCTAGGGTTTCTTTCCACAGACAAGCACACTTTAAAGTTATTGCCTGATGGAGTACATCCAGGGCCCTTACAGTTGACCTTGGGAAATGTGACAATGATTAAGGAGGCATGGCGGGGCTCAACCAAGGGTGTGATCACTCACATGCTTCTCCCACTGGGCGGAACCTAACTTGTAAATATTGTTCATGTCTCAAGAGTGTGTGCATTAGCCATAATCTCTAGCTTGTGTGGGTAGATGCTAAGGAGAAGCTGAGGTGCTCCCTTCCCAGGGGCTTATGGGAGAAACCCAGGTAGTGAACGGGCAGGGGCTGGAGAGAAGGTTTGATGGCTTCAAGCTTGCACTGCTCTTACAGAAGACCCAAGTTCAGTTTTAGGACTCACATTTGATGACTTTTTTACTCTCTGTAACTCCAGCTTAAAGAGGTCCGATGCCCTCTTCTGGCCCCTGTGGACACCAAGTTCTCACTTTCTCAGCACCAGATCCTCTTGTTTTGCCTTTTTATACTAATATCAACCCCTCCAAAGATAAAGAGAAACAAAGCAGGGAGGTTGCTGGCTGCCTTAGCTAGAACATTGTAGGATTCATTTCTGTATGTTTCTCTGATAAAGCTTGGGAAATAACAAGAAGCAGGCTTTTTGTAGACAGGCTTGGTTTTCTTTGGGTACTTCTGGGAACCAAGAGGCAGAACTTTCCACAATGTTCTCCACATTCCTAAATGCCATTAGGTCAAGAAGCCTGGAATACCCTACCCCACTGTGCCTTTATCCTTTTATTTTCCGTCAGCTGACTTTAGGGTGCCTAGAGATCACCTGGGTAGATTACTGACAATGCACATCTTAAGACCTTGTTCCTGTAGATTTTAGTGCAACAAATCTGGCCCCTGGGGTTGTAACCAGAAAAGCAGGTAGCTCCGATGCCATGCAAGCGCTGCTGATCCTAGTCAACATATCCTGAGGTCATGTTGCAAAGAGCTAATATAGTAAGACAAACTTCTTCCAATTACCCTCATACGAATTTGAATCCTCCTAGTTGGCATTTCCCTTTCACTCTCCTCTGGAAGTCTCTCTCTGTGCATCTCGTGTAAAATACTCCCATCTCCAGGGCCTTTCTTTTCCATTTAAATGCATGTCTGCACATGACATGTCCTTTTTGTTTACTGGCTTATTTTCCACTTCCCTTCTCTAGAATGTCAACTCCCCCCTCCCCAAAAGGAATTTGTTTCTATTTAATTCACTACTATGTCATCCAGCTCTAAAATTTGAACGGCACATAGTAGGTGCTCAAATAGTTTTTGAATGAATGAAAGGGCCACCCACCTTCCAGTCCTCTAGGAAACCTTTTCTGATAACTTCCACAGTTGATTAATTGACTTACAGAAAACTAGAGAAGAGCCAAGAAAGCTCCGTCTATCTCTGGCCCTAAAAATCCCCCACTATGTGCCAGTCAGTAATTAGCTTCTGAAATTAGGTGACACTGGTTAGACTTGCGCCTCGTGGTGGTGCTGCTAATGGACCAAATGAACTGAAGATATAAAAGTGTTTTGAAAAACGTCCAGCTATACACATGAATTTTGGCTGCAATAAATGCCTGATTTGTTCAGAGATCTTCTACCTGCTTAGCTCCCACCACAGAACACCCAGAAGCAAGGGAAAGTATCTATAAACAGCTAATGCAGAGCTCATAAAACCTACCCCCCAATATGTGACTTATCCACAGGAGGGTCCTGGCAGCAACTCCTTCAATTTCTCTTTACTGGAATTTTAAGGAGCTTCTGTGCCTGTCTCCCAAATGGCACAGGAACACTGAAAAACAGCACAGCTTGGGAAGGGAGATCACCAGGTCAAGAATTCAAGAAATGAGCCTAATGGTCTTTTTGATAATCCACAAGAAAATAAACACACACACACATTCTCTCTTTCTCTCTCTCTCTCTCTCTCTCTTCCTTCCTCCCCCCTCTCTCTCTCCCTCTCTCGTACACATACACACACACACACACACACACACACACACACACACACAC